AGACGCTGCGCCAGTGTAAGATGGGTGGCCACAGCGCGTTGGCTGGCAGCAGCACCCAAGCGGGCAGCGGCAGGCAGCAGCCGGCGAGCGACAGCACCAGGGCACCCAGCAAGAGAGCCCGAAGCCCGGGGGCTGCTGGGGGGCAAGGAGCAGCGGCGCTGCCTCTCCGCAGAACGCTGCTGCTGCCGGAGGCCCTCCCTCATGAAGCCCCGTGCCCGTGCCTGTGCCGTGCGGCCCCAGGACAGGCTCCGGCCCCAAGCCAGCAGGGCCAAGACGCTGCAGCACCAGCAGCCGGGGACAAAGACCCCCAGTGAGACTTTGCAGCCGCTGGGGGCCAGGGCCAAGGCGCTGGGGCCAGTGCGCCAGCCGCCCTGTGTGCAGCCGCAGCCCACCTCCAGCGGCCCCAGCAGCATGCCCAGGGCCCGGCCAACGCTGCCAGGCTGCAGCGCTGTGCCTGCTGCCCCCCGGCCCCCAGCTGACCACAAGGCCCTGGTGCTGCCAGCACTACCAGGCAGCACAGCGCCAGCATGGAGAGCTCCCCTAGAGCAGGCGCCCAGAGCGCTGGGCCTGCCAGCCGCGGGGGGCCAAGAGCAGAGTCCGGCTCTGCCCACGCAGCCGTGCATGCTGCAGCGTCCGGCGCAGCCCCGCGTGCACTACGTGCCCTGTGTGGGGCCCTGGGAGGGCCACGACGCAGCGCCCACGCTGCTGGAGGAGCAGGAGGCCAAAAAAATCACAAATACAAAAAAAAAAGAGAGGAGGAGGAGGAGGCCAAAAAGTCACAAATACAAAAAAAAAAGAGCATGAGGAGGAGGAGGAGGCCAAATAATTCAAAAATACAAAAAAAAAAAAAAGAGCATAAGGAGGAGGAGATGGCCAAAAAAATCACAAATACAAAAAAAAAAAAAAAAAAGAGGAGGAGGAGGAAGAGGTGGTCGTGGACAAAAAAAATCACAAATACAAAAAAAAAGAGCGTGAGGAGAAGGAGGTGGCTGTGGTGGTTTTACTCAGGTGGGCAGCCAAGCTCCACCACAGCCGCTCTGTCACTCCCCCTCCTCAAAGAGGAATGGGGAGGGAATGAGGATATGGTCAGTCTACAGCGCTTCTTCTCTGCCGCTCCTTCTCGGTCACTCTCGTACCCTGTGCTGTGGGGTCCCTCCCACGGGATGCAGTCCTTGATGAACTGATCCGGCGTGGGCTTCCCACAGGCAGCAGCTCTTCCAGAGTTGCTCCAGATATGGGTCCGTACCACGGGCTCCATCCCTCAGGAGAAAACTGCTCCAACCTGGCTCCCCTACGGGCAGCAGCTCCTGCCAGGTCACCTGCTCCTGCGTGGGCTCCTCTCCACGGGCTACAGGTCCGGCCCGGAATCTGCTCCGGCAGGGGTCTTCCACAGGCGGCAGCCTCCATCGGTGCAGGGCCACCTGCTCCACCGTGGTCTCCTCCACGGGCTGCAGCGTGGAACCCTGCTCCACCGTGGTACTCCATGGGCTGCAGGGGGACATCCTGCTTCACCATGGGCCTCACCACAGGCTGCAGGGGACTTGCACCTGGAGCACCTCTCCCCCTCTTTCTACACCGACCTTGGCACCTGCAAGGCTGTTCCTCACTCCCTTCACTCTCCCAGCTGCTGTGTGGCGCAGCGTTTTTTTCCCTGTCTTAAATATGCTCTCACAGAGGCACAAGACAACATCGCTTATTGGCTCAGCTCTGGAAAACAATGGGGCCCTTCCCAAACATGGGGCAGCTTCTAGATCTTTCTCACAGAAACCACCCCTATGGCCCCCTGCTACCAAAACTTTGCCATGTAAACCCACTACAGATGGTCTTGTTAAGTAGCAGCCATGGATGAACCACTTAATGCCCTTTAGTTCTTCTGGTCACGATCAAATCGTTAGGTGCTTGTGATGTTCACACAGTTTGAGTGAATCTGAGATGGATTGTAATTAATTCAGTATCTATGGACATATCATTCAAAGACCTTTTAACATTGAAGAAGTAATTTATATTGTTTACTTGTTTTTATTTCACTAACTTCAAATATTTTTCAAAAATTGCACTGTGAAGTGCACTGTACCTGTGTAATTTAGGTTTTCTGAAAGAACATTCTGCTTCATTTCATTGGGTCAGAAACAGTAACAAACTACATAATTTATTTCACTATATAGCTAGAAAATACAGTTTCCAGAATCTTACCTGGTATTGATAATGACTGACCTCTGACTTCTTTTTTCTAAATACTTCGTACATTTTATACGAGCCATGCTTGAGATTAAAATAGCCTAAAGATCAATTTGTTATTGAAAAGGAACGTGAAAGTACTTTAAAAAATATCACATCTAAAATTACTTTGTGTCCTATTGCATGACCTAGAAGTTTTTTGTTTCTCCACAAAAAAAAAAAAAAAAAAAAAATCAAAATAATTGTTATGGTTGTTATGGTCTGGTTGTGAAATTAAGGGAACTGCTTATTTCACTTGAAGGTTTTGTTTGTTGGGGCTTAAAAAAATTGCACTTTGGGAATATCGAAGCGTGTTGTTTGTTTCTGTAACATTACTGTAGAAAACAAACAAACAAACAAAACAAGCAAAACAGAGGATCAAATTCAGCATTTTCTAGGTAAGCTAGATGGGCGAATAGAGAATTTTCTTTGTACTAATTACTCATGTCTTTTTTTAGAAGATAGATAATTCTTTTGAATTCCCAATCTGCAAGGGCTACATGTATCCTTTGATTTACTTTTGTTGGTCATCAGTTCAGGATGAAAAGCAAACCTTTTTTGTAAGAGTACAGTACTCACTGAAAAGCATACACTTAATAGCTGCACAAACTTGAATGCAGAGAGCAGAATGTCCGCACTTAAATGAATCTAACTTTTATCCATAACTCTCTCCAACATATCAAAAAAGGTACTTTTGAAAGTAAGGTTAGTTTTATGTTAGCAGTGGACTACAAGTGGGCATATTTGAAAGTGTTGTTGTGGATTATTAGATGTACTTAGCAAAGGGATTTTTTACTCTGCTGTCATCTGGGCAAGTAGTGTATAACATGTGTGGCTGTAGATATGAAAGGACTGCATTTTTCCTTGCTGCAAGCACAGAATAAATTTGTCCACATCATGAGGCGGCTGTTACAACATGATAAATGGGCCTATTGTCTTGTGGCACATTTACAGTTTTTCTGAGTAGATTGCAAAATACTATATTCTAAACAATTAGGTAAACCATACTTCATTATTCTATGTTGTTCATCTCAATTGTGAGATAAGAATCGTCATCTTTTTGTTGGATTATTTCTACTTTCGTGGAAGTAACAAGTCTTGCTAATGTTCAGTTTAATATTAGTGTCTCTATTATTCAGTCCATGTTTGTTGTCAAAGAGCAATAAACAAACGAGTAAATAGAGTTTAAAATGTGCACTTATTTATTATTCTTTATGAGGTGAAAGAATTGCCGAAGGAATTTCTTCTTCGGATGATACTGTGTATTATCAAATACCTGTCACTACTCTACAACTAAGGATGAATTCCTCTTGAGGTCTGCATAAATGGAAATTCTGTTCTTCATGGATGAAAAATAAGCAAGAAGTAATGTAGGAAACATACAACTCAATTGGTAGTAGATGTCTGCTGATGCTCCGCAGGTTTCTGCAGCTGTGACACTACAGATTAAGTAGTCATTCAAACATTAGATTCTGTATGCCATATGTATCCATTTCCAGACATAAGTACAATGTCCTGTAGCACTACAGGAGGTAAATACATTGGGTACATTTGTGATCTTTGAGAACTGGATGAAGTGTTGACCATGAATAGGAGCTAGCAATTCCAATACACAAACAGAACAATGTGAGAGAGAGGACAGCAAGGCAATCATATGGGAAAGAGGGAAGAAGAAAGAAAAGGAAAGAAAAACGGGGAAGAAAAAAAAGAACATCCCTCTCTCTACACACCCCACGCCCCCCCCCCCCCCCCCCAGCAAACTAACAAACAAAAACCACAGATAAAATACTGCATACGCAGCAAGGGAAGTCTCATGTTTGCTACCCTTGTTCTCATGGGGGACTTCAGCTTGCCAGGTGTCTGCTTGAAATACAGTGCAGGAAGGAGGAAATGGTCTGAGAGACTCCTGGGGTGTGTGGACACAGGGGGTGAGGGAAGCAGCAAGGGAAGGTGCCCCACTTGACCTGTTGTTTGCAAACAGGGAAGGACCTGTGGGTGACATGATGGTTGGAGGTCTCTTTGGGCACAGCCATCATGAAGCGATAGGCTTTTTTCATCTTTGGCGAAGTAAGGAAGGCAGTTTGCAGAACCGCTGCCGTGGATTTCCAGAGGGCAGACACTGGCCTGTTTAGAGACCTGGCTGACAGAGTCCTCGGGGAGGCAGTTCTAAAGGCAGGGCGCTCCAGGAAGGCTGAACTTTCTTCAAACAGGAGATCCTCATTTGAATCAGAGAGTGGGAGTTCTATCCTGCACAGTGTTATTAGCAGGCAGCAGTGGGGGAACTCTGCTGCTCGGGACCGCTGTGCTGACTGCGCGGGTTATCCCCGCTGGGCGTGTTTGGAAGAGATTAATTAATGAGACAATTTTAAGGGAATATTCAAAGGAGAAAAAACGTGAAGACTTATACCGCGTATGCTTCCTGATTCGGTAAACCTTTTGTGAAAAAACAAACTTTGTGGTTTTGCCCAACATTCATAGTATTCATATAGTATTGCAAAAGGATATGGGTGGAGTCCATGGCAAAATTCCCACTCTCACTAGTTAGACTTCCCTCCTTCAACTGGAAATCACAGTATGAGGTAGCTAAGATTTTACCATTTGGGGAAGGGAGGAGTGGAGTGGGGGTAAAAATACCATTTTGCATAATTAAAAACTAGTTAAGTATTCAGAAACTGCCATCCACAACATTTTTTACCTCAAGAATTAGCAATTTAGGGGTGACTAAATGGCAATTGGGCAGTCAAAGTTGTTTTTTTTTTGTTGTTTCGTTTTGTTTTTGTTTTTTGTTTTTTATATTGTAAACCAACTTTCTTTGAACTTTAATTCATAACTATATTGAATGAATGACCTCTGGATTTCTCTCTCACATTTTGAAGTAAATTTGAAAACAAAATACCTCTGGCATAAAGAGCCAGGCATCAGAGACACCTGTTGCGCCTCAAGAACAGAGAAGGTATGAATGACAAGAGCAGCTGAATAAAATGCAACTTACCATTAGAAATGGGTGTACTGGCATCTACAGGTGCCGCTGTCATCTCCTCATTTTCATTACTCTCTTCATCTGGTTTGTCGTCTTCAGTAGCAGGGTTCTGCTGTGGTGACTTGGAGTTGTCGCATGGAGCACTTGCTGGAGAGGTGCGACCTTGCAATAAAGAATAGATACCAAAGATCTTCGTTGTGCATTCTCAGTTACAAATGCAGAAACAAGTCTTAAAATCCTTAGCGTTAAAGCACGTACCTCTTTTCTCACGAGATTCTTTAATTTGTTCACAAAGTCGTCCAAACTCTGTATCCATTTTGTTCCTCACCATTGAATATGCAGTGTCTTGCAAAACATAGGCTCTGTGACAATCTGAAATTTTACAGACTTTAACTGAATGTTGTCTACCAACCAATGAAACTGTTTTGATCAGAGAAAAAAATTGCTTTCTTCATAGGTTGGTTCCGAAAGGTTATCTCAGTGAATATTTTCAGCATAACAACATAGAAGTTAATTAAAACAAAAGCACTAGTTCCTTGGGAACATTTATATCACAATTCCATGCCCAAGTAGCAAAATGATAAAATATTTACAATGTGGTAAGAGATGTTCTCTGTGGATGTCCAAAATCATCGAATCCATCCAAAGTCTATTGTCCGCACACAGCATTTATCCATCTATACGTTTGACAGATTTTTTTAAACTAGGGCTAAAAAGCACATCCTCAATTGTAGATCTTTGATCTGGGTAGTACTCTAAGGCATTGTTACAGATTAGATCAATGTCCTTCAGATAGTCTCCTGCAGTGAGGTACTGGCGTGAGTCAATTTGAGTCAGAACTGTTGAAAGATCCATCGGCTCTTTAATCCTCGTGGCATAGTCAGGTACCTGCAGATCAAATACAAGCATTCAGAGGTTTTCTTAACCTTGCACACTGTCTACCAAAATTATTCTGAAAACTTTAAATAAACGACTTCCTAAAAAACCTGAACATTTGTGATGCATCAGAAGATGCTGAAATTAACCAGTTTGCTTCTCAAAAATGGAAGGGCTCTTTCAACTGGCATTAGAGCTGCTAGGAGAGGACAACAAGAAGTAGGGAGGTCAGAAGCACGTGCATGGTACAGAAGAAACACTGAGGGTGGGAGATTCATTTCACTTTGCTTCAGAAAATCACAACAGTGAAAGCTGAGTAAGCCATCCGACATTCTTTTTGCTGTCGACATTGAGGAAAAGGTGCATGAATTGCACCTGTGAAATACCTATTGCAGGCATCTACTTTAGAATGAGATAACTAGGCCCAGAGGTGCTGATTTCTTCTCTCAGACCATAAGACGAGCCTAATGACTAGTTCAGATGAGGACATACGTATCTGTCTAGATTTTTCACAGCTCAAGAACCTAGGAGAAAAGGGGAAGAAAAGCCAGTGGATGCCCACATGAAGAGGCCTTTGCTGATCCGCAGGTATAGTCAAGTTACACCTGTCTTTGAAATATACGCCCCTAGTTTAGGCTTATCTAATCAATTAAGGAGAAAAAGGGATCTAAGCAGCCAATTGGAGGAAAAAGAAAACACACTGCACTTATGGTTGATTCCTATTGAGGAGTTCCAGATGAAACAGAGAACAGGATCTCAAAACTTATTTTTACAAACTGCTGCTCCTATTCCTGTTCCCACAGGAACTGACAGTCCAATAAAGGGCTTTAGACTTCATTAAAGTAGTCCTGTAAGTACTGTTTGTAATTATAAGGAAAGATCTCTGTGCTTTTCAGTGCTGTGACATGCCTACGTATGCCTTTTCACGAGCAGACTGTGTTGGCATTTGGACTGGCTTTTTAGAATGAAACCAGGGCTTTCAGCGAATAATCCGGTAAGAGACATCTGAGAGTCAGCAGAAGTAAAAGCACTGCCTCTGCTTCTTGCAAAATCCTAATAGTGCAGCCCTAAAAACAAAGTTGAACCTTCCCCAAAACGCTGAGAAATACCAACACTGAGAAGTTACAGACACACACAGATCAACACTAGTTTACCTTCTGTGGGTCAACGGGCTTTGCAAATTCCCTGAAACGTCTGTCAGTGGCAAGTCTGTGAGTAACGTCCCTCAAGAAAATTCTAAGTTCACGCAAGGTATCCTCCTCTTCCTCCTCCAGCATCCCTACTTCTTTCTCTTGTGGCTTCTGAGGCTCAGCTGGTGGTGCTACAAGCAGGACTTCCAATGTCCGATGAACTTCAATTAATCAGGAAAAATTAGCCAATTTACAGTACTCAAATACAAGCATATGACAAATTAATGACAGAAAATGACCACCAAAGCAAATCCCAAAGAGCTAGTAACTTCGATAGGAAAGTTTTAGATGTACTTCTTATATCCTCCTCACCTGTTTTCTTTACAGGAGGCTTAGCCACTTGATTTAGAATTAGGTCCTCAAAAAAAGCTGCTCTCTCTGCCCTACCAGGCAACTCAATATTGCACACTTCTCCAAATTCCTTATTAAATAATTTTTGGATCTAAAGCAGAAGGAGGAAAGACATTTCAGATTTAAGGCCACAAAAACTCATATTCTATTCCAAAAAGACAAGTACCTTTTAAAATTAATAATAACCTGAAGAACACAAACTGAAAAAAGTTATCTTCCTGGCCTTAAAAGGCTACATTTTCACAGGCTGGCACGGCAAATTCAAATATCATCTTTAAGAATCACCTGTAGAATTAAATCTTGGTGAAGGGATTGTACGCTACACTGATAAAGTAATAGCTTTCACCACATCCAACATCGCTTCCTTTGTATTTACTTGCCTTGCTGCATCCTTTAGTTAGAACCTTTATGGCTATAGAGGGAAGAGAAAGGCTTCAGCAGACAAGTGAGGGCTTTTTGCTGAGTTTTTATTTCTCTACCAAAAGGTGTCTGAAGTAGCTAGTACCTCTACGTCTTCGTCCATTTTCAATTTCTAGTATTAAAAGGTAGGTAAGGAATTTCACTACTTATTTTAGAAGGAATTCAGAACCTGTACAAAAACTTCTGTGGGAACTCAAGCACTTTCAAAGCAGTTGATAATAAACACGTCTAGGTAAGACCCGTTCTCTTCCCCCAATAACTGAGACAAAATAATCGGAATGAGAACAGCGTGTTCCTGTTTTGAGCACCTTCCCTTAATGTAAACTCTCAGAAGTCAATGAAGTTCTGCATGTACTTTTACTACAGTTTATTTAGGAATACAACTAGAATTCCATTCCAAAGTTACTTGAGCAGAAATTGGAACTCAGCTTTTCAGCTTGGAAAGCTTTGGCCTATATGAAGAAAGAAACTGACATTTTTTTTTTTAATCAAAGTGTTTCAATTCTCTACTAAATTGCATTATTAGCAGTTTACCTAACATAGCATGGAATGGCAGACTGTCAGAAGAAATCTCTTCAGTAAAAACATCCTCTTGTCATTTCAAGCACTGCATATTCTTGACTGAACCACTTTGTAGCCACCGGAATTATTGTATTAATTTATTATTTGCATGTGTGAGAAGGGAGTGAAAGTCACTTGCTTGACTCAGAAAAAACCTTAAGCAGATGCTTTCACAGTATTCTTTTTCTTTAAGCAAATTTTAAATGATTTGTTAGGGTGCCTGAGTAATAACAGTAGGCATTTAAGAAAGCACAACATTTTGATGCTGAAAGCATTCATAAATTACAAGAAACTGAAGAAATAGTAAGAAAAGTATTGACAAATACCTCTTCTGGGAGATCTGAGTGACGTACATCAGATGTAGTAAGCAGCAAAACTGGCGAAAATGCTGGAAAAGTTAGAGTTAGAAAAGTAAGTTTCAAGGCAGGTCCAACGTTGTCCCACCATAAATGGATATCTGGGACATAAATTATGCTTGGTGCTGTCTTCTGAGCATTTCGAATCAGCTAGTGAAAAGGAAAGCTTGGGTAAGAAAACTAAAACACGTAGAATAACCTGTTAATACATAGCTACATAGCCACCTGACTGCCCCATGAAATGAAACTATGTGAACAGAGTGGCAAGCATCCTTTCACATAAGGAATTTCTCTGCGCACCCTTTCAGATTACCAATATTCGAAGAACTCTAGTCAGAAGATGGGAAGGATATATTCAGGCAGTGTCTAGACACCGTAGCTATATGGCCACAGCCACAATCTTCGCATAACAAAGAAAGGAAATGTCCCTCTTATGGGACACATCAGTATTCAGTCGTGTAACATGTCTGTCCTTACTTGTATGGCTCTCAAATGTTTCCACTAAAGGTATAAATATTTTAAGGTAGTGATGCCAAACAATAAAATGGATTTCCTGCCTAAAAGTAAAAACACCAAATCTGTTCATTTTTTCTAGTTAAAACCACATCAGCGTGTGAATGAAGCGTTTTGTGAATGTTAATGCTTTTATTGCACATACTGCAACAGCACAAGTTGTGTATGTCCGTGTGAAAACAAAATAAACAGAAGCCCCAAACCTTGGTTGCCTTACTAATATAATTTAGAAGAAGGCTACAAAAAGTAGCCGACGTGCAGTCTGATACAGAGCCATCTACTGGGAGCACACAGTCTTAGGAGGCAATGAGAACTACTTTCTGGATCCCAGGGAGATGAGCAGCATTTCTTTCCACAAAGAGATGTTTATTAGCAACACCGCCCAGCTTCCTGAGCTGCTAGCAACATCATCACTGTAAAAGTGGGTATGGAAAATGTGGACATGTACAACATCCAGATTGTTTGTGGTTTTGTCTAAAAGAAAAGGGGATTTTCAGACAGAAGCAAATGTCCCAGCACATTAAAACAAGGCCACCTCCATTACCAATTAATTTTGCTCACCTTACTTGCAACTCGATTGATCCTTTACATACAGTCAGTGAATCCAATGAGAATAAAAAGAAAAAAGGTACCTGTCCGCAGATTTCTTCTGGCGGTGCAACGTTTGTAAGCAGAACAGAAAGGTCCAGGGTGTGAACGGGAAACTTCTCCAAAGCGTGCAACACCGCGGGTGCCATGTAAGAAACCTGGCCGTACCCTTCTTTTCCTACTATTAGCAGACGGGGCCGGCATGATGTTGGTTCGCAGAAAGCACTCCTAGAACAAGAGTTAAGAAAACAAGTTTATAAATGAGGTGCTGAATAGACACACACAGATGTTCCAAGTAATTTTCCTATAGACTTTCTTTTCCCTCCCCAAATAATCCAAATGGCAGCGGTACATTAAATACATGTAAGATTTCCAGTTAAGTTATTCAGTCATTCCAATTGTTTCATCTTCTTCCCTTGTGTTTCCTATTCTTTACTAAACCGAGACTGCAAATTAATATCCCTGCAATCTTGCTTCACTACTAGGAAATAAATTTGTGAGGAGCATTTTTTTCCCCACTACAATCAGGCTGTACCTTTGCTGGCTTAAATCAA